GCTGGGGAATTCTGGGAGTTGAAGTCCACCCATCTCCCAGCTGCTGAGCTTGAGAAACACAACCCCGGGGGGGACCCCGCCAAACCCGCTTTCATTGCTCCCAGACCAAAATTGCGGGGAGGGGGGACCCCCCCCAGCAGCGACACCCCAAAAGGGAAGCTTGCAAAGCAGGGGAGCAGCCCGTGTCCCGGGTTGGGGGGCGGGCGGGAGGGGGCCCTGCAGTCCTCCTCCTGCCCCGCCGGGCCCTCCCTCGCCAGGAGCCCAAGCGCCTCCCGTTGCACCGGGCCAACCAACTTCCCCCCCCCCGGAGTCACTCCGGATTAACGCGCTCTGCCCCCCCCCCGCCTAACAACAACAACAACAACATCCCGGAACTCCAGTCCGGCCACTCCGGAGCGCGCCCCTCGAGTCCCGGACGCGGGCCTTACCCGGCCTCCCCGGGGCTCCGGGGCTCCCCGCGGGGCTGCGCTGGGCTCCGGCGGCCCGGGGTGCAGGCGGCGGCGGCGGCGGCGGCGGCTCCCGTTGGCAAGTAACCGTCTCCAGGGCTACGGTCACTATGGCGCCTCCTCGCGCGGGGTTTCGAGGCAACTGTTGCTAGCCTGCCCCGTGACGTCAGCGGACACGCCCCTCCGGGCGGACACCCCCCCTCGGCTCGCTCCGATTGGGCGGCTGTCAAAAGGCGGGAGGGGGAAGGAGGGCGGCGGGGGGCGGGGCCGGCGGTTGGCGCGCGTTTTGGCGCGAGGCGCCTGAGGCGGGCGGGAGGGAGGGAGGGACGGACGGGTGCTGAGGGCCTCTGGGCGTGTGCAGAGCGCCTTCGCTTAGCCTTAGGGAGGAATCCTGCCTGCTGCGGTGCCCCCTATGGGAAATACAGCTGTTTTAAGGGCCCTCTTGAGTCTGTGGGGACACAGCGGCATTCATGGTGTCCATTCAGCTGGGGATGATGGGACTTAATGTTTAGGCTGTGAGGGGACTTAAATGTTTAGGGCTGCCATACTTGGGGTTGTTGTTTTTTTTGACATGGCTGGCCTACACTAATATTGATGGTGTTACCATGGTGTCCACTCAGCTGGGGATGATGGGACTTAATGTTTAGGCTGTGAGGTAACTTAATGTTTAGGCTGCCATACTTGGGTTTTTTTGTTTTGTTTTTTGACATGGCTGGCCTGCATTACTATTGATGGTGTTACCATGGTGTCCACTCAGCTGGGGATGATGGGACTTAATGTTTAGGCTGTGAGGTAACTTAATGTTTAGGCTGCCATACTTAGTTTTTTGTTTTGTTTTTTGACATGGCTGGCCTGCATTACTATTGATGGTGTTACCATGGTGTCCACTCAGCTGGGGATGATGGGACTTAATGTTTAGGCTGTGGTGGGACTTGATGTTTAGGCTGCCATACTTGGTTTTTTGTGTTTTTTTTTGACATGGCTGGCCTGCATTACTATTGATGGTGTTACCATGGTGTCCACTCAGCTGGGGATGATGGGACTTAATGTTTAGGCTGTGAGGGGACCTGATGTTTAGGCTGCCATACTTGGTTGTTGTTGTTTTTGACGTGGCTGGCCTGCATCAATAGTAACAGCGCTTAGGCAGGCGTATGCAGATCGTCCTCGACTTACAACCACAATGGAGGAGGCCAACATTTCTGTTGCTAAGCGAGACCGTTGCTAAGCGAGGGTGGCCCCATCTTAATGACCTTCTTTCCTTCCTCTCCCTCCCTATCTCCTTCCTTCCTTTCCCTCCCTCAGTTGCTAAGTGAATCACTGCACTTGTGAAGTTAGTCACCCGGTTGTTAAGTGAACCTGGCTTCCCCGTCAGACTTTGCTGGTCAGGAGGTCGTAAAAGGGGATCACGTGACCCCCCCCCCCCGGCAGTGGTCATAAGTATGAGTCAGTTTGCCCAGCGTCTGAATTTCAATCATGTGATCATGGGGCTGCTTCAAAGATTGTAAGTGTGAAAAAGGGTCATAAGTCACTTTTTCAGTGCGGTTGTAACTTTGAACGGTCATTAAATGAACCATTGTAGGTCAAGGACCAGCTGCATACCGCTTTGCAGTGCTTTACAGCAGGGCTTTTCAACCTTTTCACCCACTGTACCACTTTTAGGATATGGCAACATCCGAGTACAACCAGTCGCCTAGCAAGGTGTCAAAAACTTGACCCCCCAAAAAAGGAAATAAGTGAGAAAGTACAGGTAGTCCTCGACTTACAACAGTTCGCTTAGTGACTGTTTGAAGTTACAATGGCACTGAAAAAAGTGCCCCCCAAGCCACAGCCGAGCAAGATACCTGCCTGCCCGCCCGGCGGCGCTCTTCCTCCTGTCTGAGGTTTTCATTGTTGTGAGCATTTCTGTTGAGGATTGGCAGCGGGGGTGGGTGGGGGGTGTTTGGTTTTTATTTCCCCGTCTGCTGGGTGGTTGCATCAGGTTTTGGTCACTTCACATGACCCTGGGACACTGTGACTGTCATAAATATGAATCAGTTGCCAAGCATCCGAATGTAAATCACAAAACCCTGGAGATGCTGCAACATTCCAGCTGATCGGCGCTTCTTCAGGGCTCAGCAGAAGCACCAGGATCAGTGCTGAGCTCCAGCTGGATCCTGGCACTGATCCTGGCGCTTCCGCTGAGCCCTGACAGCCCCGAAGTGCCAATCAGCTGGAAAGCGGCACTGATCCTGGCGCTTCCGCTGAGCCCTGACAGCCCTGCAGCTCCAGCCATCTCTCGCTCAGGCTTGTGCGATGCTGCCACCGGTTCAGCTCATTCCCCTCCTCCACTACCACTTTTCTAGGATGGTCGTGTACCACCTGCCGGGTGCCAATGTACCACAGGTGGTACCCGTACCACTGGTTGAAAAGCCCTGCTTTACAGCACTCCCATGAACCTTCGGCCTGGCCCATTAACCGTGGTTTGGGGTGGCTCATGCAAGGCCCACGTGGCGCAGCTCCTGAAGGGAAGGTTGCACCCAGGCCCAGCTCAGCTCGCCACAACACTCCTGTGGGGCTGGACGCATCTCCCTNATGTACCACAGGTGGTACCCGTACCACTGGTTGAAAAGCCCTGCTTTACAGCACTCCCATGAACCTTCGGCCTGGCCCATTAACCGTGGTTTGGGGTGGCTCATGCAAGGCCCACGTGGCGCAGCTCCTGAAGGGAAGGTTGCACCCAGGCCCAGCTCAGCTCGCCACAACACTCCTGTGGGGCTGGACGCATCTCCCTTTCTCCTGACAGCAGGAAGGAGCCCACAACTGTGTTGGCTGCAGGCAGAAGTTCATCTGGGACGCCCTTGAGAGAGGCTACAAAAACACCCAAGACCGTTTTTGAGCTTGCATCTTTTTTATTCTGAAATATTTTCCTGACATGATTCGAAAAGGCATCAGACAAACCTGGGACCACATAAAGAACAGCCTGTCCTGAAACAGATGGGTGGAAAAATATGAAGAATTTCTACTTAAAATGGCTCTTCCCTTCTCCTGGCTTTTGCATTATGACTTCCTGGGACTCCACTTGCAGAAACTGGAAGATCAAGAAGCCGGACCCCAAAATTTGGGGGCAACATTAAGTAGAGGAAAGGCGAACTGCAAAGCTCACCGTAACATAACCACGTTTGCAAGAAAAAGGTGAGTCTGAAAGGCTCTAATCCAACAGCTGCATATTTTGCAAAATAATTTAAACTTACAGGCCTTATTACAATGTGTGGTGACCATCACAGCTTTGGACAGCCTTGAAAACACTTCAGAAAAAAACACTCCTAATATATATGGACAGATTATCACATTTGATTCCTTAAAGACCCGTTTCCTTTGCACCCCAATTCATAAATACAGGGAACTCCTATTATTACATTTACAGGGAGAAGAAAAGCTCTCCATGGCAGCATTTAAGTCTTCCCACGAAAACAGAGCAGCCTTATTAACCGTTATCAAATATGCCCCCCCCCCTCGCTCCCATGTTTATACTAGAAGCTAAAAGTGATTTGGTTTAGCTCACGCTATTAAAAATAATCCATGATTGCACCCCACGCTTTCTTCAGACACCCCCATTTGCTCAATGCCTCTTTACCCGCACCGCAATTCTTACCAAACATCAAAACTAAATAAAGCCTCTTTGCACAAAAGTGGCTCAAATTCACAAGGGCACACTTTTTGGCTCTTCTGTGCAATTTGTTTTTTGAATCCAGAGCAGTACTTGCAATTTTATGTCGATTTAAAGGGGAACAAGGCACAGCTGAGCAGCCTAATCCTCTCCCTCCCCTCCCCCCATATAATTTGGCTGGAATTAAAGTCTTATGGTTCACGCAGAACAAGCACAGGCTAAACTTTGAGCCCCAAGAGCCAAGTTCAAGTGTGATGCTCATCCAGGTTTCCAAATGTGTTCTCAAAACACTTGTAAGGAGATATTCTGCCCATTCCTTCCTTCCTGCCTGGTCCCCTGTCCCCTGGCACAGGAGGGGCAACGTGGACCCCAACATCTGATGCTGAAAAACATCCTGCTGTTTGAAGAGAGTTGGGCACACCTCGCTATGTAAACCTACCTCCCAAGTGAAAACAGTGAGGAGACTGAAGTGCGCCAATAAGAAATGTCCCGCCCTGTGTGCAACGTGGACACCAGCCGTCTTGTGGAAGGAGAAAAAGTGCCCCGTGCAAAGATTCACCCAACGAGCTACCCCAAGGCACCGCAAGAACACACAGAGTTCACCCAGTCTGTGGCATCGCTGCAGTATTTTCCTTTGGTTCGTTAGAGAACTCCCATCCCACCCCTGGAGAAAAGAAAAAGAAAAAGAAAGAAAGGGGAAGGAAGGAAGGAAGGAGAGGGAGAAAAAGAAAGAAAGAAAGAAAGAAAGAAAGAAAAGATATTTGATGGGGAAGGAAGGGAAAGAGAAAAAAAGGGAAGGAAAGGGAAAGGAAAGCGGAAGGGAGAAAGAACAAATGGAATAAAAAAGGAAGGAAAGGAAAAGATAGGAGGAAGAAATAAAATGAGGAAAGAAGGAAAGGAAAGAGAAACCCTGAGGTTGGTACATTCATTTCGGGAAAAGGTACACTGAGGTCAAAACAGCCAGCGAGGGTCTTCCGTACGCTTCCCACTGGCACAGCCAGAGTCCGAAGTGCAGAGGAGTCTCCTGCCTTGGAGGAAAGCAAGAAAAGGAGACCCTTTATTGAAAACCTCATTTATCAACGGAAGCGACGGTGCACCTCGCCTACAGAAAAGATTCCGGTAAAGATGCTGGACTTCGAGGCAGAGGCAGGCGGAGAGACGGGTGTCCTCGTTCAGAAATTTGGTGTTTCTGAGTAGAGCTGTTGGATCTGTTCTTGGTACATCTTGGTTACCACTGGCCTCTTCAGCTTCATGGTTGGGCCTGGGAGGCAGAGACAGGTGGTCAGATGTTAGTGTCTAAGGCCTCCACACACACACCCTGCCCTCTCCCCCCCTTCAACTTTTTCTGAAGCTGTGCAAAGCCGAGATTCCAGAGAAATGTCTTGCAATGTTTGGATGGAGCGTGGATGCTCTTTGCTCCCTTAACATAATGGGGAATGGGCGACCAGCCCCCTCCCCAGATGGATGCTGTCTGCACAGTGGACCACCCTAAGTTGGGAGCCTCCTTGTAATGGATAGTGACAGCAACATCATCATCAGGATGAGGAGGAGAAAGAAGAAGAAAGAAAGAGGAGGAGGAGGAGGAGGAGGAGGAGAAGAAGAGGAGGAGGAGGAGGAGGAGGAGGAGGAGGAGGAGGAGAAGAAGAAGAAGAAGAAGAAGAAGAAGAAGAAGAAGAAGAAGAAGAAGAAGAAGAAGAAGAAGAAGAAGAGGAGAGTTGGGACCTTGGAGGTCTTCTAGTCCAACCCCCTGCTCAGGCAGGAAACCCTCTACCATTTCAGACAAATGATTGTCTGAACTTTCCTGAGTTTCGCCTTAAAATCTTTGAAAGGGAAGATTCTGCCCTGGAGTAATGCAAGGACTTCACTTTTGGAAAAGTGAGCAGGCCGGTCCTCTTTTAATTTAGCATCTCGGAGGACAGAGGGGATTTTAATGGGCAACGTAAAGGGCATTTAAACCATCCCTGGGCCTTTCTCCGCATAAGACTTGACAAATCTCTTTTAGAGAACACTGATTGGGTACGACTTGTCTTTTCTGAATGAAACGGCGAAGATTCTTAGCGAAGTGGGATCTGGGCTGAACCCCATGGCATGGCTAGCTGGGGAATTCTGGGAGTTGAAATCCACCCCTCTTCACGTTGCCAAGGTTGAGAAATACCACCCTGTGCCATCCGACACCCCCTAGCCCAGTAGTCTGCCCACGAACCATCCAGGACTGGGAAGCCAAACCAGCTTCTTACCCAGCTCGCCACTCTGAATGGAGAAGTCTTTGCTGAGCAGAACCCACTTCTGGATTTTCTGGGCGTTGGAGGTGGCATGATCGTTGACTTTCATGACCCCCTTCTGGATGGCGGTGTACACAGCCACGTCTTTGTTGCCCACGATGTCGGAGACCTTGGTGGACTTGCTGCCCAGTTTCTGGCAGAACTCGACGGATTCAGGCGTCAGTTCGTCTTCCGACATCCCCGTTTCTAAGTTCATCTTGCTCTAGAAAAGCAGAAGAGTGTTGGAGTGGCCATGGGAAGGAGGGCAGTGCCACCCTCTGGTGGGGGCTGGCTCTGCCCTGGTGTTTACCCGGGGGGGGTAGATGAGGGGGAGTATTTATTTTATTTATTTATTTATTTATTATTTTAATTTGTATACCGCCCTTCTCCCATAGGACTCAGGGCGGTTCACAGCATATTAAAAACAAATAATATACACAAAATACAAAAAAATTACAAAATACAAAAATACAAAAATACAGAAAATAAACCCCGATAAAAGCCGAATTAAAACCAAATATTACAAGCTGTGTTTCCAATTAAAATACTTTTAAAATTATCCCTACCTAAAATCCTCCCTAGGTCAGGCCCGCTTGCTGAATGGGCACCCACCCATTCAGACAATGTGGAGTACAAGGTAAGAGCTCAAGGCAGAGGCCAGCAACATTGCCCCCCCTGGAAACCAATTCTAGACCCTCAGCAGGAACAATCTGATCTTTTCCCAACAGGAACTGGTGGAGCAACGAAGGGGTGGAGGACTTTCTTCCTCCCCCCCCCCAGCATAGAATCAACCCTATCCTAAGCTAAGCAGCTATTTGGGAGCATTTATGAAAGAACGGTCAAGCATGAGGAGAACAGGATTCTGCAAAACCAAAGAGTGAACTCTCCCTTTTAGCTTTCAATTCAAGATCGTAGTCCTCAGTTTTTCCACTCCTGAAGACTTCTCTTGCCTGGATTGACACCCTCAATAGCGCCTTCCCAGAGCAGTGTTTTTCCCACCTTGGCCACTTTAAGACGGGTGGACTTCAACTCCCAGAATTCCCCAGCTGGCCAATTCCAGGAATGTGAAGCCCACCCATCTTAAAACAGCAAAAGGGTGCTCTAGAATCTGGCAAAAAAGAGTGCAGAGAAGAGCAACAAAGATGATTAGGGGACTGGAGGCTAAAACGCATAAAGAACGGTTGCTGGAATTGGGTATGTCTAGTTTAATGAAGAGAAGGACGGGGGGGGGGGACATGATAGCAGTCTTCCAGTATCTCAGAGGTTGCCCCAAAGAAGAGGGAGTCAAGCTATTCTCCAAAGCACCAGAAAGGCAGGACAAGAAGCAATGGATGGAAACTCATTAAGGAGAGAAGCAATCTAGAATTAAGGAGGATTTTCCTGACAGTGAGAACAATTAACCAGTGGAACAGAAGTTGCCTCCAGAAGTTGTGGGTACTCCAACACTGGAGGCTTTTAAGAAGAGACTGGACAGCCACTTGTCTGAAACATGTTTCCTGCTTGAGCAGGGGGGGTTGGACTAGAACAGACATGTCAAACACAAGGCCCGGGGGCCGGATGCGGCCCATGACGTTTCATGTGGCCCGCGAAGCCATCCTGGAAACAGTGAGGGAATGGCCCCCGCTGCCTTGGCCCCGACCCAGGATTCCCGGGAGCCAATGTACAATTTTGTGGTGGCCATCTATGCTGAAACACATTCAGTCTTAGCTCCACAAGGCCGTCTGGAAACAGCAAGGGACCGACCCCTGGCGCATTGGCCCCGCCCCCTGGGTGCATGCTGGGGAGGTGTCACCCTTTGTGAGGAATGAAGAAATGCACCATCGCCTGGAAGTGGCCAGCAAATGGTCCTCACCTACTTTTCCAGTGGACCATGCCTTGGCGTTTGCCCCGGTCCCACTCCTGCCCAGGCACCCCTGGCTGGCTATGCCCACCCAGTAGGCCACACCTACTCCAGCCACGCCCACCCAGTAGGCCGCACCCACCCTGGCCACACTTACCCGTCCCCCCCCGAGGACAACCACAATGCTGATGCGGCCCTCAATGAAATTAAGTTTGACACCCCTGGACTAGAAGACCTCGAAAATCCCTTCCAACTCTGTTATTCTATTCTAAACACATCTGGGGATGCCCAATTTGGATCTGAAGGAGTGAAAATGGCAGCCCCTTGGACTCGTCTCCCTCCTATCCCTCTCCCCCGGGGGTCCCGGTGCCTAGGGGAGGCAGGAGAAAATCCGGCGCTCACCTTAAGGGTCATCAGCATGACGAGATATTTGGCTTTGTCTCCCACTAACATGACGTTGCTAAGAATGGGGACGGCCTCCTTGACTGCATCTTCAATCGGGACTGGGGGAATATTCTCTCCCCCCGCAGTGATGATGAGCTCTGGAATAAAAACGGCGAAGGCCGTGCCGTCAGACCTCAAGAAGAGCGACTGGATTCACACACTTGCAGTCTATGGGATAAACCACAGCTTGTCTGCTGTAAAACTGGGAATCTCGACTTTAACAACCGTTCGCTTTGTGACTTTTCAAAATTAGAACGGTACTGGAGAAAAGTGACTTGTGACTGGTTTTCACACTTAACGACTGTCGCAGCAATCTCACGCCACGCGATCGAAATCTAGGCACTTGGCTACCGGTATGTATTTATGATGGCTGCAGCCTCCCAGCGACCTGGGATTCTCATTTGTGATCTTCCCTGGCGATTTCCTCTCGTGACCCAGGGGACTGGATTACCTTTGATCCGCCCCGTAATGAAGAGGAAGCCATCCTCATCGTGCCGGCCCAGATCCCCGGAATGAAGCCAGCCCTCGGCGTCCACGGCTTCTTTCGTTTTGTCTTCCATGTTCAGGTAGCCCATAAAGACATGGCGCCCGGCGAAGCAGACCTCGCCGACGCCTTCCTGGTCTGGTTTGAAAAGCATGGTCCGGAAGCCTGTAATCTCCTTGCCGCAGCTGGATGGGGGAAGGAAGGAGTCAAGCAAAGAGTCAAGGGCTGGCAACTGTGCCCCCCACACACAGACTGCCCATTGCGGAGAAGCACAGCAGAGTCTCCACGCTCACAATGTGAGGTGGTATAAAAGAAAACCTAATTATTTAAAGCTTAGGACCCTTGTTTAACAAAACAGCGCATCCTGATTGAACACAGAAGTTTGGATGCAACAATCTGCACAGGGTCTGATTTAACAGGCGTTCCTTTGTCCGTTAAATCAAGAGCTGGCCACGCTGAATTTCTGACACAGCCACCCAAATGTTTAGATCTTTTTTTTGGTATTTCTTCCATTTATGTCCTTTTACTTGGCACTTGCTCTCTTCAGGTTTTTGTTTTTTTTTAATTTCAGAGGTCCCCCCCCCACTTTTTTCAGCTTGCTCACTCTCCCAACAGTACAATGTAAAATGCAAGATGCCCATGTTAACAGCTTGCCAACGCCACACTTGAAATCTAGACTTTCTGAGTGTTTGCCCAACAAACACAGCAATCTGCTCGCACATCTAATGCTTTCCAATCTCAGCCAGAAATTTCGGCACAACAAAGCCAGTCGTGCCAGGGAAAAAGAACCCGGCCCCAAACAGGACTGGAAATCTCTCCTGACTCTGGGAATTCTCTCCCGGGACTTGTTCATCTGAGCGTGCAGGAATCTCCTCCGTCGGGGAAATTTAAATTTTGCAATGGACACGAATTCACCCAGGAATTCAGAGACTCCTAAGTAAGAAAAGCCTTCAAGTTTCTTCCCAGGTGGAAGAGAAAATACAGGTTGTCCTCAATTTACAACGGGCCACATAGTGACCATTCAAAGTTAGGACAGGCCCTTCCCCCCCCAAAGGTACTTACAACCTGGTTACCAATTTACGATGGCATCCCCATGGCCATGGCTTTATATCCTGGGCACTTGGCAACTGGCCTGGGTTTAGGGCAGTTTGCAGCAGCCCGTGCTCACGTGACTGCAATGTACAATGTTTTTGAGGAAAATTGGCAGTTATTTCCAGTTTGGGGCAAAAACGCCCCCAAAACAATAGCTCCGGTTAATGACTGCAGCATTCACTTAACAACTGCTACAAAAAAGGGTCGGAAAGTCAGCTTTGTCACGGTGATGCCATGCTTTGCAACCACCGCAATTTTCCAATCATCTCGAGCAGGCTCCATTACGGCTGTACAAGTCATCCTCAACTTACAACAGTTCGTTGAGCGACCGTTCAAAGTTACGATGGCACTGAAAAATGTTGACTCAGGACCACTTTTCACAGTTACGCCCTTTGCAGCATCCCCACGGCCCTGGGATCAAAATCCAGACGCTGGGAGAGTGGCTCGTATTTATGGCGGTCGCAGAAGTGTGTCACGTGATCCCCTTTTACAACCTTCTGACAAGCGAAGTTGATGGGGAAGCCGGATTCACTTAACAACCATGTTACTAACTTAACCACCGTGGGCAAGAAATGTCGTAAAAGGGGGAAAACTCCACGTAACAACCGTTTCACTTTGCAGGAGAAATTTTGGGCTCAGCTGGGGTTCCCCACCCCCCAGTAAATATATCCTGCCTGTCCAGTTCTGAGCCTACCTTGCCATCCTGTACGATGCCTGATGGGAAACGGTGTGAGGACCTGAACTTTCGCTCATGCCGTAGAGCTCGTAGATCACAATGTCCAGGCTGAGGAAAAACTCCAGGGTGTCCTTTGTGATGGGGGCCGCCCCCGTGTAACATCGGTAGCAGCGGTCCAGCCCCAGGGCTTTCCGGACCTTTTTATAAACCAGCGCCTTCGCCAGCCGGTAATTCATCGGGAGATCGATGGACCTGCAGGAAAAGTATGCATGAGGCTGAGAGTCCCAAAGGCGCTCTTTTTTTCAAGGAGGCAACTGGACCTTCTTGTTTTTCTTTGAAGACGTTTCGCTTCTCTGCCGAGAAGCTTCTTCAGCTCTGAAAGGAGGACAGGAAAGCGAAAGGTCTTTTGAATGAGAAGCGAAACAACTCCCGTGACCTGTTGGATGACGGAGAATCTCCGTAGACAGGCGTCTGGGAAGGAAACGAGACCCCCCCCCTCCCCAACCAGCAAGGGCTGCAGCCTTCTTAGGGGCTGTGCTGCCCCCCCCCACACACACACGCATGCATGCACTGGTATGGGAAGAGTGTTTATTGAAACAGGTCCTGGGAAAGCACCCCTGTTGCACAGGTATGGATATGCTATACTAGGGTTTCCTGCCTGAACAGGGGGTTGGACTAAAAGACCTCCAAGGTCCCTTCCAACTCTACTCTACTCTACTCTACTCTATTCTGCATTTTGTTTTCTATTCTCTATTCTATTCTCTATTCCAGTGATGGCGAACCTTTTAGAGACCGAGTGCCCAAAAACCACCCCGTCCCCGCTCCGCCTCCCGCCCTGCCTGCTCCGCCCCCGCCCACCCATAGGGCCATGCACCGCCTCCATGGCCCGCCACAGATCGCCCAGGCAGCCCTGCAGCGCCATGGCACCATGCCCTCTGCCCACACCCCGCAGCAGCATCTGCACGCTATGGGGCATGAGAGCGGAGTCTTGTCCCTGCTGCCCGGCTATGTCCTTGGCTGCGCTGCTCCATGCGGGCTGTGCCTGGGAGTGACTCTCCTCCAGGGGGGCTGTTGATGAGGAGGGGGCCGCAGGGGGAGGCAGTGCTCGGGCAACAACATGTGTGCCCACAGAGAGGGCTCCGAGTGCCGCCTCTGGCACGCATGCCATAAGTTCGCCACCACTGTTCTATTCTATTCTCTATTCGATTTGATTCTGCATTTTGTTTTCTCTTCTCTATTCTCTTCTCTATTCTATTCAATTCTGCATTTTGTTTTCTATTCTCTATTCTATTTATTCTATTCTTTATTCTATTCTATTCTATTCTGCATTCTTTCTATTCTGTTTCCTGTTCTATTTTATTATTCTCTTCTATTCATATTCTGTATTCTATTTTCTCTTCTCTACTCTTCTATTCTCTTCTCCTCTTCTAAAAGCTCAGCACGACAAGAGTCCCTGGGTAACCGAGTCCAACAGGCACAGGGAGAGTGCAGGAAAGCAGCCCAGGATTTCAACAGAGGGTGTTACCTTACAGGTCTTAGTGACACCATCTCTATTTCCACAACAAACGTCATCGAGGCCAGAGAAAAGCTTTGTTTGTATTTAAGAAAAATACAAGCTTGGGGCAGGCGACGGCTTTGCATTCCCAATGAAGAAGGAAGCACTTCGTGTTATGTCAAGTTCGGAACAAAAAGGAGTTTCTCAACAGACGTCGGAACTTTGGCTCCCAGAATTCCCCAGCAGCCAGCCAAATGGGAAACACGGAAATGCAGGTAGTCCTCGGCTTACGACCACAACCGAGGGCAAAATTTCTGTTGTTAAGCAAGACCGTTCTTGCCACAGTTAAGTGAACCTCTGTAGTTAAGTCAGTCAACACGGTCGTTAAGCGAATCTGGCTTCCCCATGGACTTCACTGGTCAGAAGGTCGCAAAAGGGGGACCACCCGACCCCGGGACGCTGCAAAGGTCATAAATGTGAAGCAGTCGCCAAGCGTCCGAATGCTGCAACCCTCCTTTAGTGTGAAAATGTCAGGCATTTGTTAAGCCTCACTTAACAACAGAAATTTGGGGCTCCATTGCGGTCGTTAAGTCAAGGACTGCCTGTGTGTGGCTTGAAAAGCTCTGCAGGTGGTCTTTTATGTGACCTTTTAGTTGCTAAGTGAACCTCTACAGCAGGGCTTTTCAACCAGTGGTAGGGGTACCACCTGTGGCACATGGGCACCTGGCAGGTGGTACGCGACCATCCTAGAAAAGGGGTAGCGGGGGAGGGGAATGAGCTGGACCGGTGGTAGCACCGCACAAGCCTGAGCGAGAGACGGCTGGAGCTGCAGGGCTGTCAGGGCTCAGCGGAAGCGCCAGGATCAGTGCCGCTTTCCAGCTGATCGGCGCTTCTTCGGGGCTGTCAGGGCTCAGTGGAAGTGCCAGGATAAGCGCCAGGCTCCAGCTGGAGCTCGGCGCTGATCCTGGCCCTTCTGCTGAGCCCAGAAGAAGCACCGATCAGCTGGAATGTTGCAGCCTCTCCAGGGTCTTGTGATTTACATTCAGATGCCTGGCAACTGATTCACCTTTATGACGGTCACAGTGTCCCAGGGTCATGTGAAGTGACCAAAACCTGCTGCAACCACCCAGCAGACGGGGGGGGGGGGTGGTAAAAACCAAACACCCCCCACCCCACCCCCGCTGCCAATCCTCAACAGAAATGCTCACAACAATGAAAACCTCGGACAGGAGGAAGAGCGCTGCCGGGCGGGCAGGCAGGTGTCTTGCTCGGCTGTGGCTTGGGGGGGCACTTTTTTCAGGGCCATTATAACTTCAGTCACTAAGCGAACTGTTGTAAGTCAAGGACTACCTGTACTTTATCACTTTTTTCCCTTTTTTTTTTTTTTTTTTAGTGATCAGGTTTTTGACACCTTGCTAGGCGACTGGTGGTACTCGGATGTTGCCATATCCTAAAAGTGGTACAATGGGTGAAAAGATTGAAAAGCCCTGCAATAAAGGACGCTCCAGAGCCCAGCCTTGCCTTGACTACCACTTAACAGGCTCAGCAACCCAGGGTGGTGTCCTCAGGGGTGTAGGGGTTCCTGCCTGAGCAGGGGGTTGCACTAGAAGACCTCCGAGATCCCTTCCAACTCTATTATTATTATCATCATCATAGTCATTATTATTGTTATATTATTATTATTTGTTATTATTATTGTTATATTATTATTGTTGTTATTATTATTATTATTATTATGGCTATATTATTATTGTATTATTATTATTATTATTATTATTATTATTATTATTATTATTATTATTTATTATTAAATTCCCTGCTTTGTCCACAAGGGGGTGCACCTGTTTTGAACAGGTCATCTACCCAGCTGGGGGCAACCACTGTATCCGGCTGACATGGTGAACTCAGAAATGGGGAGGGGGGGCCTGAGAGCTGGGGATGGTCCTGAAAGGGTCGTGCCTTGCAGATGCTGCCCAGGCTGCTCCTGCCTCCCTCCTGACCCTTAATTTGAGGGACCAGCAAAGGTCCCAAGCTTAAGATCTCCCTGACCCCACTTTTGCACCTATCAAAAGCCACTACTGTGGTCTCGTCTCTCTCAGTGGGAGGGGGCTTTTCCATGTCCCAGACCCATAAAAACAGGGGGTGCATCTCAGCCACTAGCGGCACCCAGGCAGCGGAGGACTCCCCCGCCCAGCCTCGTACCCGTTCATGCGCTTCAGGTTGGTCTCCAGCCCCACGGCTTTGGCCCAGACGGCAATCTTCTTCTTCAGCATGGAGGACTTGGCCCCCACGGACTTCATCTGCTCCTGCATCTTCTCCCACACGCGGGGGACGCCCATGAACGCCGTGGGTCTCACTTCCCGGAGGGTCTCCACCAGACTGCCCTGCCAGGCCAAGACAAAGGAGACGGTTGGGGGATAACCGGAGCGCTGGCAGGGAAGCCGATTCAAGAGGGGGGGGGAAGGAGGCACAGGAGAAAAACCCACCACAAGCCACCGGGAATATTGAGGTTCTGCCCCCCCTTTTGGGATGTTGCTTTCATCTATCTATACGTCTCTCTGTCCGTCTATCTGCCTGCCTATCTCTCTCTCTCTACATCTATCTATATCATCTATCTATCCATCTATCCATCTGTCTATTCATCTGATTATGTTTGTCCATCTATACGTCTGTGTGTCTCTATCTATCTATCTCAGTGGTTCTCAACCTTTTTAATGCCGCGACCCCAACCGGTTGTAAGTCGAGGACTAAACCGGTCGTAAGTCGAGGACTAAACCGGTCGTAAGTCGAGGACTACCCAACCGGTCGTAAGTCGAGGACTACCCAACCGGTCGTAAGTCGAGGACTACCCAACCGGTCGTAAGTCGAGGACTTTCCCTGCCGGGGAGCGCCGTGCATACATGGTTCCACCCCCTGCGCCGGCCGAGGCGTAGCTGGCAAGCGGCAGAGACGGAGCAGGCCGACCACCAGCTGGCCCAGCCCAAGGGAGGTAAGGCACCCGCCGGAAAAGGGGGAAAAAAATGGCGGACAAAAAAAATGGCGGACAGCCTTGCTTGGTGACCCCCGTGAAATTGTCAATTGACCCCAAATGGGGTCCCGACCCACAGGTTGAGAACCACTGATCTATCTATCTATCCATCCATCCATCCATTCATCCATTTATCAGTCCATCTCTCTGTCTATCTGTTTATATGTTTGTCCATCTATCCATGTCTATCTATCCATCCATCCATCCATCCATCCATCCATTTATCAGTCCATCTCTCTGTCTGTTTATATGTTTGTCCATCTATCCATGTCTCTCTCTCTCTCTCTCTCTCTCTCTCTCTCTCTCTATCTATCTATCTATCTATCTATCTATCTATCATCTATCTATATCTACATATAGATACATAAGAAAAGACTGGACAACCATTTGTCTGAAATGGGTATAGGGTTTCCTGCCTGAGCAAGGGGTTGGACTAGAAGATCTCCAAGGGTCCCTTCCAACTATTATTATTATTGTTGTTGTTGTTTTGTTGTTGTTGTTATTGTTGTCTGTCTGTCTGTCTGTCTGTCTGTCTGTCTGTCTGTCTGTCTGTCTATCTATCTATCTATCTATCTATCTATCTATCTATCTATCTATCTACCATCTGTCTATTATCTCTCTCTCCCCATCCACCCATCTTTCCTATCTTAGTCAACCATCTCCCTCAGGGGGTCTTTGCTACTAAATTAAGGGTTTGTGGCAGCAACACCTGGCTGACCTCAGCATATCAGAAAAATGCTAAGCAGAAATCAACGTGGCTAACGTATGGATGAGAGACCACCAGGAAATCCCACAGCCAAAGTATCAACTGGGAAGTGAAAACATATCCTGGAAGAAACAGTTCTGCATCACTGTCAAAACTTAGACAGGCATGCTCGCTTAATGATTACAACGGGGACTAGCCACCCTGTTGTTAAGTGACCCAGTTGTTAAAATGAAACACGGTCTGACTGTGACAGACTGATGTCACTTCCCATTAAGCCAGAGACCTCGGCGTGACCAGGGGTTGCGATTTTACTGCCGGCTTCTCCATTGACTCTGCATGTCAGAAGCCGGCTGGGAAGGTCACAAATGGCGACTGGGCGACTGTGGGATGCTGCAGGAGTTATGCGTGCAAAGACCTGTCATAATGTTACTTTTCCAGCACTGTTGCAATTTCAAGCGATCACTCAACAGAGCAGATGTAAAACGAGATCGGCCTATAACAGGGGTAGGCAACCTTAAACACTCAAAGAGCCACTTGGACCCGTTTCCCAGAGAAAAGAAAACACTGGGAGCTGCAAAATTTGTGTGCGTGCACGGGAGCGTGATTGAAGAGTTTAATTAAAAAGAAATAGATGCTGCTGTGCATGAGTTTTCTCACACTCTCTCTTTCCTCTTTCTCTCCCTTTCCTCTCCCTCTCTCTCCCTCTTTCCTCTCCCTCTCTCCCTCTCTCTTTCCTCTCCCCCTTTCTCCCGTTCCTCTCCCTCTCTCCCTTTTTCCTCTCCCTCTTTCCTCTCCCTTTCTCTTTCTCTTTCCTCTCCCTCTCCCTCTCTCTTTCCTCTCCCCCCTCTCTCTCCCCCCTCTCTCTCTTTCCTCTCCCTCTTTCTCTCTCTCTCTCCCCCTCTCTCTCCCTCTCTCCCCCCCTCTCTCTCCCTCTCTCCGATCTTCTGCTCACCTGGCAAGCTGGCTTCACGCTGTTCTCCAACAAGCTGATACACATTCTTATTGGGCTGGCTCTCTCCTGCCCTTCCTGCTTCCTGCAGAGACGCAGCAAAGGGAGGAGCCCCGCCCAATAAGCTTGTCAGCTCATCAGAGGACAGTGTGAGACCACTTTTTTACATATGCACACACGCACACAAACACACACACAGAGAGAGAGAGAGAGAGAAGGGAAGCGCAAGTGCCTCTGTCTCTGCAAATGGCAAGGAGGCTAAGAGCCACAGGAGAAGGCTCAAAGAGCTGCGCGTTGCCGACCTGTGGTCTATAACAAGGAATCGAGTTGTACTTAAGGGAACTTTTGCTTTCCCCACTAGGGGGCAGCAGCTAGCCAATCTCAGCTGATCCCCAAACACCAGGATGGTGCACCACTAGGAAATCCCACAAGAGGTCACTAGAAGCTGAGCTCAAATTAAGGCGATAAGTTACTCCTCTTTCAACTCTGACAAGCACTGTCCAGCCCACCTTGCAAGGTCACTGTTGTTAGAACAATTAACCAGCGGAAGGGCTTGCCTCCAGAAAGTGTGGGTGCTCCATCCCTGGAGGTTTTTAAGAAGGGATTGGACAGCCACTTGTCTGGAATCGCATAGAGTTTTCTTCTTGAGCAGGGGGCTGGGCTAGAAGACCTTCGAGGCCCCCTCCAGCTCTGTCATTGGGGGGGTGATATAAAAGGATAACCCCGCAAAAACCACCTCGGCCTCCTCAAGGGAAAAAAAGCAGGAGCTGCCAACTCACCTTCAGCGCGTCAGGCTGAGCAAAGTACGTCTCCACGCCGAACGCGATGGGCAGCCAGATGTCAATCATCTGCGCGGCGACGTGGCTCAGCGGCAGGTAGCTGACCACGCTCTCCTGGCCCTCCAAGGGCGTCTTCAGGTGCACATACTCTCCGGCCGCCCTGGCCGTCCACGTGATCTGCAAGACAAAGACGGCATGGCTGCCACGGAGGGACCTCCAGCCCCCACGGAGGAACCTCAGGCCACCTTTGGCTATTAGGGCCCCCGCAAGGAAACACAAACGCACAAAGGTTTGGGGCCTGAGTGTCCATGGAGATTCTCAGTCACCCAAGTCTATGGTTGTCCCAAAGGTACTTTTTCAGGAGGCAACTGGACTTCCTTGTTTTTCCTTTGAAGACCTTTCGCTTCTCATCCAAGAAGATTCTTCAGCTCTGACCGGATGGTGGGGAAGGGAAGGATTTATACTCCTTGCAGACAGCTGGTCATTTGCCTCCTTTTAGAGGGTCATTGAGACCACTTGGAGGTTTATCTGTGTCCTCAGGGTCAGCTGAGGGGCACAAATGGGTGTGGAGCCTCCTTGCAACTGCTGAAGGGACTGTGTTGTTGCAAGAAGGCTCCACACCCATTTGCACCACTCACCTGACCTTGAGGACACAGATAAACTGCCAAGTGGCCTCAATGACTCTCTAAAAGAAGGCAAATGACCGGCTGTCTGCAAGGAGTATAAATCCTTCCCTTCCCCGCATCCGGTCAGAGCTGAAGAAACTTCTGAGATGAGAAGCGAAACGTCTTCAAAGATAAAACAAGGAAATCCACTTCTGAACAAGCATCTTTAGGGCCTGAGTGTCCACAAGGATCTGAAAAACTGAATTACGAAAGGAGAGGAATCCTTGCTCCCTTCAGGTAAAAACCAGCGAATGCCATTCAAACCATGTCAGTCAGAGAAGGGACGGGAGAAGCTTTACAACATGTTCAAGGTTTATTTCAGGGCGAATATTTCAAGTTTCGCCAGGCCCTCATTTAAATGGCCCAAAGGTGCTTTTCCAAAGGGCAACTGGACTTTGTTTTTACTACTACTACTACTACTACTACTACTACTACTACTACTACTACTACTACTACTACTAATAATAATAATAATAATAATAATAATAATAATAATAATAAAGTTGGAAGGGACCTTGGAGGTCATCTAGTCCAACCCCCTGCTCAGGCAGGTAAACCTATACCATTTCGGACAAATGGCTATCCAATCTCTTCTTAAAAACTTCCAGTGTTGGAGCATTCACCGCTTCTGGGGGCAGGTTGTTCCGCTGGTTAATCGTTCTCACTGTCAGGAAGTTTCTCCTTAGTTCTAGGTTGCTTCTCTCCTTGATGAATTTCCATCCGTTGCTTCTTGTCCTGCCCTCAGGTGCTTTGGAGAATAGATTGACTCCCTCTTCTTTGGGGCAGCCCCTGAGATACTGGAAGACTGCTATCGTGTCCCCCCTCGTCCTTCTCTTCCTTAAACTAGACATTCCCAATTCCAGCAACCGTTCCTCGTATGTTTTACCCTCCAGTCCCCTAATCATCTTTGTTGCTCTTCTCTGCACTCTTTCTAGAGTCTCGACATCTTTTTTACATCGTGGTGACCAAAACTGGATGCCGTATTCCAAGTGGGGCCTTACCAAGGCCTTGTAAAGTGGTATTAACACTTCACGTGATCTTGATTCTCTCCCTCTGTCAATGCAGCCCAGCACTGTGTTGGCTTTTTTGGCAGCTGCCGCACACGGCTGGCTCCTATTTAAGTGATTGTCCACCAGGACTCCGAGGTCCCTCTCACAGTTTTCCTTGAAAACATTTCACTTCTCATCCAAGAATCTTCTTCAGTTCTTCAGAAGCGAAGAAGCGAAACATCTTCAAGGAAAAACAGAGCCTGTTGCCCTTTGGAAAAACACCCGGACGACGGAGATTCTCCGTAGACCCTAATTTAAATATTAAAATGCACCAATACAGTAAAAAGCAGGAAACTTGGCATGATCTCCTTTGCTCCTGCAAAGCTCTGCATCTCAGGAGAAAAAAACGAGAGATACAGGGAAGTCCTTGACTTACGGCTGATCACTTAGCGCCGCCTGAAAAGCCCTTATGCGACGGACGAGGCCGGAGGGAGCCATTCCCGCCAGAGGGGACACAGGAGGAATGCGACAAACTCACCACGGGGAAAATTGAACAATTCCATTTAATTCTTTAAAATAAATTCTAAAAAATATAGGTTTTACTTTTTGTCACTCACACCCATTGTATTCTGGCCCTCGCTTTGTATCCTTTCTTTAGTGAGTCTATTCCACCATTTCTTTGATATTAGTGCTGCTCTTGTCCCGCTGCGAATTATCCTAGACCAGGGGGTAGGCAACCTTGGCTCTTTTATGACTCGTGGACTTCAACTCCCAGAATTCCTGAGCCAGCCATGCTGGGAGTTGAAGTCCACCAGTCATAAAAGAGCCAAGGTTGCCTACACCTGAGTTAGACAAACCGATACTGTATAATGGGGAGAACCAAGGCTGCTTGTAATAAGAGACGATAAGGAATGGCGTGTTGAAGAACTGGGTGGAAAGCCTGCATTTCAAACCAATTGAAGAATGTGATTTATGGCTGTTAGTTACAGGAGGGAATTGTGCTTTGATACTGTGTGCTCAGGGGAGGGGAATTCAGTTTTTGGCTTCGATTACGTAGTGCTGATATTATGCTGGCTCAGGAATTCTGGGAGTTGAAGTCCACGAGTCATAAAAGAGGCAAGGTTGCCTACCCGTCATAGACAGACAGACACATACACACACACACGGAGGGGGCCCCAGGCAAGCAGGCACTCACGTTGTCGTGGCTGAGCATGACTCCTTTGGGGTTCCCCGTGGTCCCCGACGTGTAGATGATGGTGCAGCACTGGCTGGGCTTCAGGCCGGCCAGGATCTTGTCCAGCTGATCATCCGGCACGGAGCTGCCCAGAGCCATGAATTCGTCCCACTGACCGGCAGGAAAAAAAAAACCCCACAGCCCTGGGTGAAAAGAGGGGGCCACGTCCACGTTCGTGCATCGGAGCGTGTGGGGTGCAGGCTTTTAGCCCCCTCCCCTTTCAGGGAAACAGCTGACTTTCCCCCCCTCCCTCCCTTTATGCAATCCACGGCATTTACGGCCCTGCGGGATGCTACCCACTGGCCACTCCAGCCCTCTGCCCAACGGGTCCACTCAGAGCGCGACGCTTCCCTGCAGGATCCCGGGCCTCTCCCGATCCCTGGGATCTCCCGATCTAGTGAGGAAGTATTTCCTCCAAGAGAGATCTGGAGGAAGTAGGACAAGGACAACAGTGGTTCTCACCTTACAACCGTTTGTTGGGCCACCGAAGTTACAACAGCCCTGGGAAAAAGGTCCTCAAATGTACGACGGTTGCAGCGTGCCCACGGTCATCTACAGGCAAGTCCTCGACTTGCAACCGTTTGTTTAGCGACCGTTCAAAGTTACCGCGGCACTGAAAAATGTGGCTTCCTTTTCACGGTTACGCCCTTTGCAGCATCCCTGTGGTCATGTGATCTGCGTTCAAATGCTTGGCAACTGGCTTGTACTTATGACGGTTGCGGTGTCCCAGGATCATGCGACCCCCGCTTTTGCGACCTTCTGACAAGCCAGGTTCACTTAACCATCGTGGCAAGAGAGGTCGTAAAAGGGGCCAAAACTCAGTGCTCCACTTAATGACAAAATGAAATGTTACGTGAATTTTGCCCCATTTTACAACTTTTCATGCCACTGTCGTTAAGCGAATCACTGCAGTCATTGAGTAACACAGCTGTTAAACGAATCCAGCTTGCAATAACGTTGTAAAAGAGGATCACGGGACACTGCCACTCGTCGTAAATATGAGTCAGTTGCCAGGCATCTGAATTCTGATCCCACGCCCGTGGGGAGGCTGCGACGGTCGTAAGCGTGAAAAACAGTCCCAAGTCACTTTTTCCAGTGCCGTTGTAACTTTGAGCCGTTGTAAGTCGAGGACTAACTTGTATTTACGAGAGCTGCAGGGTCTCGGGGTCCAAGGATTGCCACTGCCAGCTTTCTTAGCAAGCAAAGTCAAGGGGGGGGAGGGGAAAGGGAAGCCATATCTGCTTAATGACCGAGTGATTCACTTAACAACGGCTTAAGTGCTTTGCTTAACAACCGTGAGAAGAAGAAAAAAACCTCCATAAAATCACACACGTGGGGCTCGCTCAACCGCTGCCTTGTGTAGCTATGGAAATTCCGGTCGTATGTCGAGGACCAACGGAAAGGAATAGGAATAAGATAGAGCTGGAAGGGACCTCGGAGGTCTTCTAGTCCAGCCCCCCCGTTCAAGGAAGGGGAGGTACTCACGCTGTAGAGGTTTGGCCTTTTTTCTTTGATGTCCTCGTTGTAGTAGATGATGGCTTTCAGCAAGGGGAGCTTTTTCTCCACCTGGGAGGGGGGGGGAACAAGAGAAGCCTCAGCACAAATGTCTTCACTGGGACCCCCAACAACGCCCCAAAGTCACTGACTCTGAAGTTCAGCCTCCCCCCCCCTCCAAGTCAGAAGCCAAGCCATTGGGGGCACTGGATCTCAGCGGTGGCCCCGGACAGACCACTGCAAAATCCTTTGCTGGCCACTAAGTGAGACCGGCCCTCACACTGAACGATCCAATTTCAGCTTCCCAGACGCACAAAGGTCACAAAGGCCAGGATTGGCTGCGAGGTTACTTTGCAACGGCCAACAGTCGCTAAATGAGGACTATGTATGTATGTATGTATGTATGTATGTATGTATGTATGTATGTATGTATATATTCCTAGAGTTGTATTCTTATTTTGCTTTGGATGTCTTTTATACAAGTAATCCTCAATTAATAATAATACTAATACTAATAATAATACCAATATTACTACTACTACTACTACTACTACTAATAATAATAATAAAGTTGGAAGGGACCTTGGAGGTCATCTAGTCCAACCCCCTACTACTACTACTACTACTACTACTACTACTACTACTACTACTACTACTACTACTACTACTACTAAAGTTGGAAAGGACCTTGGAGGTCATCTAATCCAACCTCCTGCTCAGGCAGGAAACCCTATCCCATTTCAGACAAATGACTTAGAACAGTTCATTCAGTGACGGTTCAAAGTTACGACGGCACTGAAAAAAGTGAATTATGACCATTTTCCCCACGTACGACCGTTGCAGCCTCCCCACGGCCACGGGATCAAAATTCAGATGCTTGGCAACTGGTTCGCATTTACGACGGTCGCCCTGTCCCAGGGGTCACGTGACCCCCCTTTTGCGACCTCCCGACAAGCAGAGCCAATGGGGGAAGCCGTATTCACTTAACGACCGTGTTACTAATTTAAGAGCTACAGTGACTTACTTAATAACCACTGTGACAAGAAAGGTGGTACAATGGGGCAACATTCCCTCACTGTCTCGCTTAGCAACACAAAGTTTGGGCTCGGTTCTGGTCGTAAGTTGAGGACTACCTGTCCTGGGCTTTTTTTTCTACAAGGCAAGCTACTGAACATTCTTCTGTTCTGGTGGCAGCACGAAAATACGTTGAATAAACCAATCCATTTCAGAATGAGCCCCTCTCCACACAATTTGAGCGTGTGCCAGGCCCGCACCAATTTTAGTGGGTCCACACACAGCCGTGCAAAAGACACGGACTTAATGCAGTGTTTCTTGTCCTTGGCAGCAGGTAGAGGGATGGACTTCAACTCCCAGAATTCCCCAGCCAGCACATGCTCTGTTTGCTCTTAAGCATCCCTCTAAATCCACGTTTATCTTACCCCCTGGAAGATGGGTGGACCTCAATTCCCAGAATTCCCCAGCCAGCTCATGCTCTGTTCGCTCTTAAGCATCCTTCTAAATCCATATTTCTTTATCTTACCCCCCCTGGAAGATGAGTGGACCTCAATTCCCAGAATTCCCCAGCCAGCTCATGCTCTGTTCGCTCTTAAGCATCCTTCTAAATCCATATTTCTTTATCTTACCCCCCCTGGAAGATGAGTGGACCTCAATTCCCAGAATTCCCCAGCCAGCATGGCTGGCTGGGGAATTCTGGGAGTTGAGGTCCACCCATCTTAAAGTTGCTGGGACAGCCAATCTCCAGTCTCCAAAGGTTTGGTGGACCTTCCAAACTCCCAGAGATATCGCTGCGCCATCCCCGGAAGGCTTCGATAGTGGTCCTTTTTCCTGGGCCGGAGGGTGGACTAGAAGACCTCCCAGGCCCCCTTTAAAAGCCCTGGAATCTGGCTTCTCACCTCCAGGATTTTCTGCAGCTGCTTGTCGTTCTCCACCACAATGATGTTGGCCCCGCAGTTCTCGGCAACGTAGTGACAGGCCTCGGGGGAGTTGGTGGTGTAGATGCCGACGGCAAAACCCCTGCGAAGAGGGCGGGGGGAAGGGACAAAGGGGGGAATGGGTTCACTGCATTTGGGGAAGGGGGGGGGGTCGCACGGCTTCCCAGGCACCCCTTGAAGGCTTCGCTCGTTCCGCCGAGCGGCTTGCGGGACGAGGAAAATGATGGCTCATGGTCGCCCACAAAAAGCGGCGGGATGAAGACCCCTGCATTCCTATGCAACGCCAATGAAAGCCCCCCCCCTCTGCCCAATTGGGGCAGCTTCCCACTAACCCAACAAGCCAGGCCCTGCTCCTTTGCCCCCAGGAGCAAAGGGGGTCTTCCAACACAGGAAGTAGTTTGTGGGTCCCCAAACTGCGAGCCACTTCCTGCTCAAAAGCCACACCCAGAAACGAAGCCCCCACCCCTAAGGCTTGGGGCAGCCCCATAGGGCAGAAAAAGGGGCACCTGCCATGACAGTCTACGGAGATTCTCCGTCATCCCAAGGTGCTTTTTCAAGAGGCAACTGGAGTTTCTCGTCTTTCTTTGAAAGACGTTTTGCTTCTCATCCCGGAAGCTTCTTCCGCTCTGACGGGATGGCGGGGAAGGGGAGGATTTATACTCCTTGCAGACGGCTGGTCATTTGCATCCTTTTGGAGAGTCGTTGAGGCTGCTTGGAGGTTTATCTGTGTCCTCGGGGTCATCCGAGTGGTGCAAATGAGTGTGGAGACTTCTTGGAACAACACAGTCTCTTCAGCAGTTGCAAGGAGGCTCCACACCCATTTGCATCATTCTGGTGACCCGGAGGACACAGATAAACCTCCAAGTGGCCTCAACGACTCTCTCAAAGAAGACAAACGACCAGCTGTCTGCAAGGAGTATAAATCCTTCCCTTCCCCACCATCCAGTCAGAGCTGAAGAAGCTTCTGGGATGAGAAGGGAAATGTCTTCAAAGAATAATAAGAAAGTCCCATGAGGACACAGATAAACCTCCAAGTGGCCTCAACGACTCTCCGAAAGGAATGCAAATGACCAGCTGTCTGCAAGGAGTATAAATCCTCCCCTTCCCCACCATCCAGTCAGAGCAGAAGAAGGGAAATGTCTCCACACCCATTTGCACCACTCAGTTGACCCTGAGGACACAGAGAAAGGAAGAAAGCAGGAGCTGGCCTGTTTTTATTTAGTAAAGTGAAAAACGTATTCCATTTGTGTGACCACAATGACTGCAGGCAGCCCCTCCAAAAGAGCTGCTCAGTTGAGGGGGTGCTTGAGCTGGGTAGTCTTCTGGCAGATGTCACGTGACCCAACTAGGTCACATCATCAGGGCTAGAAGGGCAGAGAGGAGAAGGGGGAGGACTGTGAGGGTCCTTGGTGCTCTCTGAGCTTGGGGGTTTTCTTGGAACATTTCATGACCCAACTAGGTCACATCATCAGTGCTAGAAGGAGAAAGAGAGGAGGAGGAGGAGGGGGGGGGGAGGAGGAGGAGGAGGACAACCATGGGGTCCTTAATGCTCCCTGAGCTTGGGGGTTTTCTTGGAACCTTTCATGACCCAACTAGGTCACATCATCAGGGCTCCAAAGAGTAGGGTTTTGCATTGATGAGGCTACCTAGTTGGGTGGTGAAACGTCTGCAAGGAAACCACCAAAGCTCAGAGAGCGCCAGGGACGCCTCCTGTCAGCCACCAGCTACAAATATTCCCCTTTATTGCAGCTGCTCAACTGAAACCAAACGGCCGCTACACCCAAAACTCGGTAGCCCACCACGAAGCAGGTTGGAAAGCAGAGAGTTGCCAAATAGCAACCGACAGACCGCACCCCTGAAAAGGCAGCGGAACCAGCTCAAACTCCCAGGACGGGGGACACTGAGGCAGCGGTGGCGGGAGGGGAAGGGAGGCTCCCCTTCGAAGGGACTGGGGCCGAGACCCCTCCCCTTCGCACGGACCCAAAACCTAAAAGGGGAGAGCAGCAAGGGAGGGAGGGAGGGAAGACGGGGCTGCGTTCGAACCCTCGGCTTTGGGCAAGTCAGGAAAACCTCTCCAGGTGGGGACCGCCCCCCCTTTCCTTCCTTTTCCCAGAGGGGAGGCCGGGGGGGGGTTTCCTGCCCCTTACCCAGCAAAGATGGCGCCGATGTCGGCCAGGAACCACTCCAGCGAGTTGAAGCCCAGGATGCACACGCTGTTGAACCGCGCCAGGCCCAGCTGTGGGAGGAGGGCAGAGACGTCAGCCGGACCCCTCCCCGGGGGCTCCCCCTCGCCGCCGCCCCTCCTCAGAGCACCCGCTGCGAGCCCCCTCCCCAGCCCCAAAGCCGGCCACCTTTGGTGCCACGCTGCAGCCACCTGCCCTCCCTCCCTCCCTCGGCTGTTGTGAACTGAAAGCGCCGCGGTGTGGATACCCCCCTCCCCTCCCCAATTCTGTCCCCCCCCAGACCTTGAGGAAGCTCTTCGCGGTCTTGCGGCACTCCCCGTAGTACTGCCGGAAGGTCAGCTGGGACCAGCGGCCCTTCTTCTTCCAAGAGAGCGCCGGGAAGTCGCCGTACTTCTCCACGGAGGCCAGGAAGAGATCGTGGACGGTGATGGGGTCCTCGGCGCCGATGCCGCTCTCGTCCAGCCGCAGCTTGACCTCTCCGTCGCGCTTGGTGGTCCACAGAGCCCCGGCCCCCGGCCCTGGAGGGGAGCGGGAAGAAGGCCCTCTCCTTGCACTGACGGTCGGAAGAGAGGGGAAAGGGCTTCCCGGCTTCCGGAGCGGTTCCTTCCCACGCACACCCCGTCACAGGCCAGTCCTCGCTCAGCAACGGAGCCCCCAATTTCAGGGGCTAAGCGGATTTTGTCCCCGTTTACAGCCTCTCTTGCCACCGTCGTGAAGCGAATCACTACAGTTGCTAAATTAGTGACGCGGTTAAGCGAATCGGGTTTTCCCGCTGACTTTGCGTGGCAGAAGGGGATCACGTGACCCCTTCCCCCGGGATGCCGCGACCGTCGTAAATAGGAGTCAGTTGCCAAGCGTCTGAATTTTGATCACGTGACCGTGGGGGGGGGAATGCGGCCACGGTCGTGAAGTGTGGGAAACGGTCATAAGTCGCTTTTTTTTTTTTACCGCCGTTGTAACTTTGGTCACTAAACAAAACGTTAAGTCGAGGACTACCTGTACGTTCCATGTTCTAATTTCCCGCCTCCCGCTGCCTTCCTGGGGAGGGAGCCTGGAGGGGGCCTTCCAGCTAAAAAGTCCATCGGCTGTGTCGAGCAATGGCCCTTTCCCTCAAAATGGAACGGCAAGGCGCCAGTCCTCATGGTGCAGAAGGAAAAAGCGCTTGCAGACGGAGCCCCGAAGGCAGCTTTGCTCCACCACAAAAGTAGTCTGGGGGTGACTGAACGCAGCCCAGCCTCAATTCCCACAGCCCCCCCAGTCGGCACGGGACCCTCGGTCTGCTAAATTAAGTAGGGGGGCCTCAGTCCCAGCCCGACAGCTTCCCTCCCTTCTTCCCAAGTGTTTCGTCCCCTTTCCAAGCGGTCCTTGACTTACAACGGTTCGTTTAGTGACCGTTCAAAGTTACACCGGCAATGAAAAAAAGCGACTTATGACTGTTTTTCACACAACCGTTGCGGCATTCCCACCCACTCCCACGGCCACATGATCCAAACTGAGACGCACTTGGCGACTGACTCATGTTTATGACGGTCACAGAGTCCTGGGATTGGGTGACCCCCCCCTTTTTTCCGACCTTCCGCAAAGCAAAATCAGTGGGGGAGCCAGGTTCCCACGGCCCCCGTGTTACTAACTGAACAACGGCCGTGGCCACTTACCGAACACTGTGGCGAGAAAAGTCGTAAAATGGGGCAAAGCTAACTTAGCCAATGTCTCGCTTAGCGACAAACATTCTGGGCTCCATTGTGGCCGTACGTCGAGGACTGCCTGTGCTTACTGCGACTAAAAGCGGCTGAGGCCGAGACACCCTAGTGCTAAACCGTGCCTGCCGGGTATGCCTGGATCTCCTGGTGGTCTCCCTTCCCCCCTTTTCCTACCTTTCGACATCTCGGCGTCCGGCTCCTGGACGGGTGGCTGCTTCTTAGGGCTGCAGGGAAATCAGAGAGAGGAAGTCAGACTGTTTGTCCTCCAGGAGCCAAAGGAAATTGGGATTTCTCCCTGCGTCCCCGGGGTGAGTCTGTGCTGAGTTCCCAGCTTAATTTCCTCCCTCCCAAATGGCAGAATCCCCATCATGGTTCCGACAGATGTTACTCTTCAAAGAACTTGGAGGCATTGTTTACCTTAAGGAATCTTTAATCGAGCAGCATGGCATCGGCACGTACCTGGTCGAAGCCAAAATCTGAATTTCCCTCCCCTAAACACGCAGTCTCAAAGCACAATTCCCTCCTCCAATTAACAAGTCATAAATCACATTCTCCAACTAGTTTGAAATGCAGACCTTCCCTCCAGTTCCATGACCCGCCATTCCTTAGCGTCTCTCATTTCAAACAACCTTGAAGAATACTCTACTGCGATGTTGTTATGTCCAACTAATCCCCATGCACATTCTTCCCCCTTCCCCCCCCCAGCATCATCTAATTCCAGCTCTAAAAGTAACACACAGGTTAAAGAGAAAATGGCTGCATCTTCATATATTGTCAAAGCGAGAACATCCGATGTTAGCACCGTTGACACCCCTCGCTCTTCAGGACCCCGTGTCTCCAAACTGGGATAAGGCCTCTCCGGACGGCCTGCTCAGGATCCAGCCAGGACTGGGGCAGAGCCCTTGTGAGCAGGCTATTTTGGGGGTGTGTGTGCAGAGGGGCACCCCCAAAAGTGGAAACAATAAATCAGCGGACGGTTCTCCTTCAGAGGCTGTGGGCGCTTCATCACTGGATGTTTTTAAGAAGAGATCTCCATTTGTCTGGAGTGGGATAAGGTTTCGTGCCTGGGCAGAGGGGGGGGTTGGACTAGAAGACCTCCGAGGTCCCTTCCCACACTGTCACTCTGCTAATGAATCAGTGGAGCCGCTTGCCTCCGGAGGTCGCGGGCGCTCCATCGCTGGAGGCTTTTCAAAGAAGAGACTGGACGGCCACTTGTCTGGAATGGCATAGGGTCTCCAGCTTGAGAAGGGGGTTGGATTAGATGGCCTCCGAGGCCCCTTCCAACTTGGTTCCTCCACCAGGGCCGTCTCGCAATCTTCTGACTTGGAGTAGAGACTCGGGAATGAGGCCTCGGGGTCTGGTGGGTCCTGACCCAGATGCCAGGGGAGAATTCTGCCCCCTAAGGCAGGGGTAGGCAACCTTGGCTCTTTTAAGACTCGTGGACTTCAACTCCCAGAATTCCTGAGCCAGCCATACTGGCTGGCTCAGGAATTCTGGGAGTTGAAGTCCACGAGTCCTAAAAGAGCCGAGGTTGCCTACCCCTGCCCTAAGGCAAGCCACTGTCCCCCTTGCCCCCTCCCCCTTGTCCCTCCTGACACCCCTACACACACACACACACACACGAGCCCCCCTTTCTGCCCTCTCTGGACTGAGCCAGTGGCAGCCAGGCTTCTACATCCGCCACGCAAACGCAATCCGCCCCCCCCGCGGGACACACCTGGCCCCTGCTTAGTTATTCCTCTCCCACGGCAGGTTGCCCAATTGCGCCCCCCTTGTCCTGTGGCATCTTTTAGGGTTGGGCTTGGTGGGGGCTGTGAGGAGGGGGTCTTCCGGAGAGCCCCCTGGTCCCCAAAAGGGTACCAGCTCCCTGCCTCCAGGCAGGAGGCTGCCCCCTGCGGCGAGGGGCTGCCGCTTCTGCCAGCCCCAGGGTTCCGGAAGGGCTGCTTGTGACCTCACCCCGCGACGCCAGGGCCAGGGGTTCTGCCCCTGCCGGGGAGAGGGCGGGCTGGGCGACAGCTGGCAAAGCAGGAAGCAGCCGAGCGGGCCCGGTTCTACCGTGGGCAAGGGACCCCGTTTCCAAACCCGCTTCTTCGGGACCCCTTCCGGCGACCACGTCAATGCGGCATTCGCGGCTTCTTCAAGGCTCCCGGGGGCGAGTTCCCCCCAAAATCGCCGGGCCCACTGAAATCACGCCGCTTCGGAGACCGTTCAGATCCAGCTTTCCTCCCTCCCTTTCTCCTTTTCCCTTCCTTTTCTCCCTCCCTCCCATCTCTCTCCTTCCTCCCTTTTCTAATAATAATAATAATAATAATAATAATAATAATAATAATAATAATAATAATAAAGTTGGAAGGGACCTTGGAGGTCATCTGGTCCAACCCCCTGCTCGGGCAGGAAACCCTGTACCATTTCGGACAAACGGCTGTCCAGTCTCTTCCTAAAAACCTCTAGTATTGGAGCATTCACAACTTCTGACCGCAAGTTGTTCCACTGGTTTCTGGTTCTCACTGTCAGGAAATTTCTTTAGTTCTAGGTTGCTTCTCTCCAATAATAATAATAATAATAATAATAATAATAATAATAATAATGATGATGATGATGATGATGATGATGATGATGATGATGATGATTGATGATGATGATGATGATGATGATGATGATGATGATGATGATGATAAAGTTGGAAGGGACCTTGGAGGTCATCTGGTCCAACCCCATGCTCAGGCAGGAACCCTACACCATTTCAGACAAATGGCTGTCCAGTCTCTTTTTAAAAGCTTCCAGTGTTGGAGCATTCACCGCTTCTGGAGGCAGGTGGTTCCACTGGTTAATTGTTCTCACTGTCAGGAAGTTTCTCCTTAGTTCTAGGTTGCTTCTCTCCTGGATCAGTTTCCATCCGTTGCTTCTCGTCCTGCCTTCCGGCGCCTTGGAGAATAGCCTGACTTCCTCTTCTTTGGGGCAGCCCCTGAGATACTGGAAGGCTGCTATCCTGTCCCACCTGGTCCTTCTCTTCGTTAAACTAGACAGACCCAATTCCAGCAGCCGTTCCTTGTATGTTAGTCGTTCTTCGTAGGTTTTAGTCTCCAGTCTCCTTTGATCCTCTTAGTTGCTCTTCTCTGCACTTTTTCCAAAGTCTCAACATCTTTTTTTGTAATGTGGTGAACAAAACTGGATGCAGGTATTCCAGGAGTTGAACCGGGCTTTATCTGGACCACTTCTGGTCCAGAGATTTAACTCCTCCCTGCCTAGCTTGGTCAGGCATAATCCCGACACCCAAGTGTTTTATTTGCCCAGTGGTTCCGCACGGATCTTAAAAAGATCTGAAAAGGAAGGCGAGCCAATGCCTTGGCCCTTTGGCTACTCGCTTGGCCTGTTCCCCCAGAGAGACCGGTTTTAACCCCTCCAGGGTAGGACAGAGAAGGAAATGGGCAAACGTGCCTTAAAGGAGACACTTCTCCAAGTCTTTGGGTTCTGTCTGGGACGCCAAAGGGAAACTGAGGTAGGGAGGAATGCCCGACACCCACCCCCTCCCCTTCTGAAAGAAGCATTGGATCATCTCTAGCCAGAAGGACGAGGGGGGACATGATAGCAGTTTCCCAGTATCTCAGGGGCTGCCCCAAAGAAGAGGGAGTCAAGCTATTCTCCAAAGCGCCTGAAGGCAGGACAAGAAGCAACGGGTGGAAACTAACCAAGGAGAGAAGCAACCTAGAACTAAGGAGAAACTTCCTGACAGAACAATTAACTAGTGGAACCACCTGCCTCCAGAAGCGGTGAATGCTCCAACACTGGAAGTTTTTAAGAAGAGACTGGACAGCCATTTGTCTGAAATGGCATAGGGGTTTCCTGCCTGAGCAGGGGGTTGGACTAGATGACCTCCAAGGTCCCTTCCAACTTTACCATTATTATTATTATTATTATTATTATTATTATTATTATTATTATTATTATTATCATCATCATCATGGGTCTCGCAGTTGTCTTGACCCTGGCATGGAGCAGGAATGTGCGAAAGAAGACATGGCTGGGCAAGGGCCTGGGTGTGCCAGGTGTGCCACGTCACGACCCACGGAGACTAGCTGGCTACCACGGATAACTGTGCAGATCCCTCTTCGTACGTTTCGCCAGGTCCTCCCCGCCGAGCCACACCCTGCAATTCGCAAGCCACAAATGCTGGGTTTGCCACTGGATTGTCACCGGAGGCCGTTATCCCAAATTACAGGGCTGGCCACCTCGGCTGCCACACCCCAGCCTTTATTAGTAAACCCTCGCAGCTCTCTTACGAAAAGCCACAAACCACCGGCAAGTCCAACGGAGCCAGCTGGAACGCGCGGAGCTGTGGGGTAACCGTGCCCAAATCCTGCCCTTGCTTTCCCACGACTCTGCCAACCGGGCCCGCCTCCCTTGGCAAAGCACCTTTTCCTGGACCGTAAACAGGGAGGGAAGGACGGAGGGAGAACAGCCAGCATTGGACCCCTCTTGTCTTGTCAGGGTCAGCCACAAAGCCAGCCAGGGAGACCCCTTGCTTTGAGCAGATGGAGCAAAAGCAGAAAGTTACAAACACACACACACACACACACACACACACACAGAGTGAGTGTCCCTGATGCTGGAGTGTGGTTCCTCCAATGCCCAGCATTTCTGCCAAGGCACCCATGGGGGGGGGGAGAAGGGGCAGCTGGCATGGGGTGCATTAAATTGCCCAACCTGGAAACAGCCCCCCCCTTTCCCAAGGATGGTTTTTCATGAAGCAACTGGACCTTGTTTGAAGACATTTCACTTCTTATCCAAGAAGCTTCTTCAGCTCTGCCTGGATGGTGGAGAAATGGAAGGATTTATACTCCTTGCAGACAGCCGGTCATTTGCCTTCTTTTGGAGCCATTGAGGCCACTTGGAGCAGGGGAGGGAATACGACACCATCTACCTCCAAGTCCACAAAACAGTCCTTTCAGCAGTTCCAAGAAGGCTTCCACACCCCCATTTGCACCGCTCAGGTGACCCCGAGGACACATAGTCAAACCTCCAAGTGGCCTCAACGACCCTCTAAAAGAAATGCAAATGACCAGCAGTCTGCAAGGAGTATAAATCCTTCCCTTCCGCACCATCCAGTCAGAGCCGAAGAAGCTTCTGGGATGAGAAGCGAAACGTCTTCAAAGAAAAACCAGAAAGTCCAGTGGCCTCCTGAAAAAAGCACCCTTGGGATAACTATGACTTGGATGACGGAGAATCTCCAGAGACATTTAGCTCCCCCCCCCCCGCCCTTTGCTTGCTGGAATAAAGGAGGGTGTCTCGTGTCCAAGTGGACTTTTTCTGCACCCCACCTGGCGTCCCTTGAGGTGCTGCCCACCTGCCTGCCAAGCTGAGGGGAGGCACCAAAGAATACCTGTTGGCTGTTCTTCAGCTGGTATCAGCATCAGCCTTTCCAAGGTTACACCAGGACCCTCCTCGCTCCCCCCAGAGATGGGCTGCTAAGGCCACCCGTGTCTCCCCCCCCCCCAGTTCCCAAAGTCCACCCTTGAGCACCGGGAGCCCCAATCCAGCCTTACTGAGGATCCTCATTACAATTGAGGATTGTAATTTTGCAATTACAATTGAGCCGACATTTTCCATCGCTAAGCGAGAGAGGCAGCCGTGTGAATTCTGGCCCGTGTGAATTCTGCCCCATTTTACGAGCTTTTGAAATCCGTGTGTCAAAGAGCGAGGAGGGGACGCCAGAGATATTTCGTGAAAGGTGGGGCAGATGTGGGGCAACCAAAAACGGGCCGAGGATGGTTAGAGATGCAAATGAAGATTGCTGGCTCCTTCCCCTCCAGCACCGATTGGGTTATCTAGTTGGGCAATGAAAGGCAGGCAATCAATCAGCCAAGGACTCAAAGGAAAGATCATCTCGGATAAGCGGGGATTAATCCCAGACAAACAGACAAACAATAACCAAGGGTGGGAAAAAACAACAACACTACACTCCCACCAATGCTGACAGGGCAACCTGCTAGTATCTAAAGGGAGAGCCAACCCCACCCTCCCTTCTGGCACTGATGACGTTCCTTAGTTGGGTCATGAAACGTCTGCAAGGAAACCAACCCAGCTCGGAGACCCCCGAGGACCTCACGGTCCTCCTATACCTCCCCCTCCTCTTCTCTTTCTCTTCCCCCTCCGCCTCTTCTTCCTCTCCACTTTCTGTTCTTTCTCTCCTCCTCCTCCTCCTCTCCACAGCCCCCCTCCCTTCTAGCACTCATGAGGTTCCCTACTTGGGCCATGAAACATCTGGAAGAAAAAAGAGCACCAAGGACTCTACAGCCTTCCTCCTCTTCCTTCTCTTCTTCCTCTTCTCTGCAAACCCCACTCCCTTGTAGCACTGATGACATTCTTTAGTTGGGCCATGAAACGTCTGCAAGGAAATCACCAAGCTCAGAGAGCACCAAGGACCCCACAGTCCTTCCTCCTTCTTCCCTTTCTCCCTCCTTCCCTTCTCTTCTTCCTCCCTCCTCCTCCTCCTCCTCCTCCTCCTCTCCACAAACCCCCCTCCCTTCTGGCACTGATGACGTTCCCCAGTTGGGTCATGAAACGTCTGGAAGAAAACACTAAGCTGAGGGAGCATTGAGCATCCCCCATAATCCTCCTCCTCCTCTCCGCAAGCCCCACTCCCTTCTTGCACTGATGACTACCTGTACAGGTAAGTCCTCTAGTTACAACCAAAATTGAGCCCAACACTTCTGTTACTAAGCGAGAGTTTTGCCCCCATTTCACGAACTTTCTTCCCGCGGTCCTTAAGCGAATCTGACTTTTCCCCACGGACGTGGCTGGCCAGGAAAACGTGGCAAAAGGGGATCACGTGACCTTCTGGGACGCCTGCGACCGTCATAAATACGAGTCAGTTGCCAAGCTGACTGAATTTTCGACCGCCTGACCGTGGGGACGCTGCAACGGTCGTTAAGTGGGAGAAATGGCCATCAATCTCTTTTTTCTAGTAACTTCAGTCACTAAACAAACTGTTGCAAGGCGAGGAGTATTTGTGCTTTGAACTCCACCCCGTGCGGGTCTGGTCGTTCGTGCCTGACCCATGTAGGGTGAAGCATGGTTTGAGCAAGCCACGATAGAAAAACCAGGATGTTTATACAACTAGGGAAAATTATAACATATAAAAACGTACTAGACGAGAAAGGGGAATTGAAATCCAGGAAAATTCTTCAAGACGAAGGGATAGAATTAGAATGGTGGGCATATTTTCAATTACAGGCAAGATATTGGAAAGATAAAAAAAAGAGCTAGGCATAAAAATAGAGCCGACAGGGCCGGACAAAATATTATTAGGAACTGAGGATAAAATGATTAAAAAAACTATATCATTATCTGTTAGACCAGCCAATGTATGAGGAACAGGTAAAAGAAACCATGTTAACGTGGAGTAGGGATCTTGATCTCAACTTTGATCTGCACATCTGGCAAGAATTATGGGTAAGAAATAGGAAGCTCACTCTGGCCACCTCCTACAAAGAAAATCTCTACAAAATGTTCTATGGATGGCACCTCCCATTCACAAGGTTAGCTAAAATGGGTCCAATTTTTTCATCCATATGTTGGAAATGTAAATTGGCAATAGGGACCTATTACCATATGTGGTGGGAGTGCTCAACAGCTTGAGATTTTTGGAATAAGATAAAAAAAAATGGCTGGAAGAAATATTAATGATAGAGATAGAGCTAAAACCAGAACTCTTCCTATTAGGCATAACTACACAAAAATACGATGAAGGGATATTCTACCTGATGTTACACATTTTCACAGCTGCTAGATTGGCGTATGCACAAAATTGGAGGAATAAAGAAACTCCAACAGAATAAGAGATCTTATACAAAATGTTATCGTGTGCCGATATGGACAGGCTCACAATGGAAATGAAGGACAAGACAGAGTCAGATTATTTTGAAATCTGGGACAAATTTTATTATTGGTGTGGATCAAGGGGGACTGTTCGGGTTATAAAGCTAGTGTTAAGATAGAAATATATATAACTGAATGTTGGTATATAGAGAAATAAACTAGGTATTGTATTATATAGAAAAATATGTATATATAGAGATTAAGAACTATATGTATAAAGAGGAACAAACTGTTAGAAATACGTATACCGGAATGTTACGTCATGTCCATTTTTGTTTTAACTGTGTTATAAATAAAAAAACTTTAAAAAAAACAAACCAGGATGGTCAGTTCAAAACAACTTCAACCTTGTTTTACCAAATCTCCACTTAGCAGGTTCCTGATGCAGGGAATAAAATTCCATCCGGACACACACCCACCCAATAATAATGCCCCAAACCCCCCACAGTAAAGACGTGTCTCCCCCTTGGGCGGGTGGGAGGGGGCAGACAGGAAGCACCGGTCTCCCCCCCCCTCCAGAAAAAAGAACAAGCGTTCACCCACCTGGGCGAAGAGGTGGCCACCGAAATGTCGCTGAGCGAGACGTCGGTCGGTTCGGAGAAGAGCGGTGTTGCTGGTCCCACCGGGAGGGATCCGGTCACTACGGCGGTGGCGGCTGCCATCTTGGCCGAGCCTGGCGTGGAAACGAGACCCTTCGACCGTCTCTAAGCACTTGAAAGCGCCAAAAGGTCTTCTCCTGGATTGAGACATTCAAAGAGGCAGCGTCTTAGCGTCAGCGTCTCGCTGCCGGGTGTGCGGGAAGCCCCACAGCCACAGGAAGAGGAAAAGGAAGTAAAGTTCTAAATATTCACCCTTTCTAGACGGAACTCGGTTGCTTTTGCAAAGTGGTACCTGACGGGCGAGGCTTGTAATCCCGTCCTCCCCCAGCTCCGCAGTCGCAAGATAGTTGGCAAAGGCTGGACTAGATGACCCTTAAGGTTCCCCCCTTAAGTGTCCTTCTTAAAATAAATGACAAGTTGACCTGCCCTCCCCGCTCTTCCCATTCCTGAAGCCTCTGAATGGAAAATCCCTTCATGATGCTTGCCGTCCAGCAGGGACTTTAGTCCATCGTCGGAATACCAAAATCACAGAGTTAGAAGGGACCTCGGAGGTATAATAATAATAATAATAATAATAATAATAATAATAATAATAATAATAATAATAATAATAATAATAATAATAATAATAATAATAATAAAAAAGTTGGACCTTGGAGGTCATCTAATCCAACCCCCTGCTCAGGCAGGAAACCCTATACCATTTCGGACAAATGGCTGTCCAGTCTCTTCTTTAAAACTTCCAGTGTTGGAGCATTCACCGCTTCTGGAGGCAGGTTGTTCCACTGGTTAATTGTTCTCACTGTCAGGAAGTTTCTCCTTAGTTCTAGGTTGCTTCTCTCCTTGATTAGTTTCCATGCGTTGCTTCTTGTCCTGCCTTCAGGCGCTTTGGGGAATAGCTTGACTCCCTCTTCTTTGGGGCAGCCCCTGAGATACTGGAACACGGCTATCATGTCCCCCCTACTCCTCTTTTTGCTAGACTAGATAGAAGCAATTCTTGCAACCATTCTTCATGTGTTTTAGCCTCCAGTCCCTTAATCATCTCTGTTGCTCTTCTCTGCACTCTTTCTAGAGTCTCAACATCTTTTTTATAATATGGTGAACACAACTGGAAGCAGTATTCTACATGTGGTCTTATTAAGGCGTTATAAAGCAGTACTAGAATTTCATGTGATCTTGATTCTATGCCTCTGTTTATACAACCCAGGATTGTGTTAGCTTCTTTTGGCTGCTGCCGCACACGGCTGGCTCACGTTTAAGGGATCGTCCACTAAGGACTCCAAGGTCCCTCTCACAGTTGCTGTTTCTGAGCCAAGTTTCATCTGTACTTGTACCTTTGGTTTTTCCTGCCTAAGTGTAAAACCTGGCTTTTCTCCACACTGAATTTCATTTTTTGGACAAGAAGATCCATCTTTACAAGGCCTAGGTAAGGCCACACTTGGAATCCTGCATCCAGTTTTGGTCCCCACGATGTAAAAAAGATGTTGAGACTCTAGAAAGAGTCCAGAGAAGAGCAACAAAGATGATTAGGGGACTGGAGGCTAAAACATATAAGGAAAGGCTGCTGGAATTGGGTCTGTCTAGTTTAATGAAGAGAAGGATGAGGGGGGGGGGACAGGATAGCAGTGTTCCAGTATCTCAGGGGCTGCCCCAAAGAAGAGGGAGTCAAGCTATTCTCCAAAGCACCTGAAGGCAGGACAAGAAGCAACGGGTGGAAACTCATCAAGGAGAGAAGCAACCTGGAATTAATGAGAAACTTTCTGACAGTGAGAACAATTAACCAGTGGAACAACCTGCCTCCAGAAGCGGTGAATGCTCCAACACTGGAAGTTTTGAAGAAGAGACTGGACAGCCCTTTGTCTGAAACGGTAGAAGATTTCCTGCCTGAGCAGGGGGTTGGACTAGATGACCTCCAAGGTCCAACTTTATTATTATTATTATTATTATTATTATTATTATTATTATTATTATTATTATTATTATTATTATTATTATTATTATAGAGCTTTGAAGTACTCCAGAAATTGCAAATATTCAAAAAACCAGTCCACTTGTTTTTGTGTGGGAAAGGAAAAAAAAAACACCTGTAACTCTGTAGCCTAAAAGTTTTTTTGCTTATGAATTTCTGACATCTGGATTTCTCCATTGTTGAAACTGGGGAGGGAGAGGCACAGAAAAAAAAGGGAAGGCTCATCCATTTCCTCTTCTCAGATCAGGTCAAGCAGCTGGCCTTCTCAAGACCCCCCCACACACCTTTCTGCGAAGCCTGCACCCCCATTTGAGGTCACGCCTGACCACGGGTGACGTGTCCTCAGCCCATCGTCCCTCAACCCCAAATGGACCCACAACCTCCCTCCCCCAACTTATTTCAATCGGCTTCCGGCAGAGGAAAACACGTACACAATTTCCGCTTGGCTTAATTAGAAATAACTTCTATTTTTGCTAAGAAAAGTAATTGAGGCCCGGCAAAACGAGCCCGAGAGAATTTGCAAGTGTCGGGGTTTTTACTTGAGAAAAAAAAGGAAGGGGTGTGTGTGGGAATTTCCAGCCTGCTTGGACCACAAGACCTTCTTGTAGGTTTTGCTCTGCGGAAGAGAGAAATTCTTAGCAGCCTATTTGCAGGAATTGCACCGCCAGCTTAAAACTTGCTCGCTGTTTGAGGAAGACATTTAATGTGTAACTAATTTTTTTTAAAAAAAAAAAAAAAGTTAATTGGGTCCCCCAGAGCCAAGCAAGTAGAATTTTCAGCTAGACTGCCTTGGATCGTGGAAGCTCCACTAAGGTTTCAGGGCCCACTTCTTCTTCTTGTTGTGCCCTATCCATTATCGGACGTTGGCGATCATGTTGGGGATCCTGTTTTTGTCAGCAGCCGCACGAAAAAGTGCTGCTGAGTTTTATCCAAACTAGTCCCTTAGATTTTGAAGCCACGATGTTCTTCTTCTGCCTGGACCTCGTTTGCCTTCGATCTTTCCCTGGAGGATTCAATGTAGCATGCCGTGTTTTTCTGGGTGTCGCATCACCTGTCCGAAATATTCTAATTTTTGTTTTTTAATTGTTTTGATGGTTTTCCTGGGCTTTCCCAGGCGGCTGATCCCCTCCTCATTTCTGATATCTTGTCGACCCAGCTTCTACGTAACAGCCGCCTGTCAATCCACATTTCAAATGCTTCTTGTCTCTTCAGGTGGCCTCCTGTCAGAGACCAGCAGTTAAAATTTGAACCCGAGCCATTTATGTCCCTTTAGATCGCAAACAAGGGTCCAGTCAAGGTGACCGGCAGTTATGTCAGCTATGGAAAATGCCAACACAAACAGACCGAAATAAAACGGAGAGATACGGGAGTCATCCCGGCAAGCCCCAAGGAGCGGAAGAAAAACTGCTTAAGGTTCCCCTGGTGGAATTACTTCTGTGCCCACCTCCCCAATTCCCAAGAGAACAGCCAAACCCAGCTAAGGGGGTCCCTTGAGTCATCTTCTGCCAGGAAAAAAAAAGTCTCCCCAGGCGAAATCAACTAAGGTTTCTTTCCAAACGATCAGATCAGCACGTGGGTTGCACAAGACGAATCAGCTTGAACCCATTCATTAGTCGTTAGCCCCAGGCTGGCTGGGGAATTCTGGGGCTACCGTTGAGAACCCCCGATTTCATGGGATGCTTAAGAGTAAACACAGCCCCCTGATGCCTGGGGAATTCTGGGAGTTGAAGTCTGAAAGCTGCCACGGTGGAGGAACGCTGCCCTACGGCACCCGAGGGCAGGACAAGAAGCAGTGGTGGTTTTTCTTGCCTAAATGTAGAACCTTACTTTTTTCAATGGTGAAAAAAATAAGGTTCTACATTTAGGCAAGAAAAACCAAATGTACAGATATAGTATAGGGGGTACCTTGCTCAATAGTAGCAACTGTGAGAGGGATCTCGGAGTCCTAGTGGACCATCCCTTAAATATGAGCCAGCTGTGTGCTGCAGCTGCCAAAAAGGCCAACACAGGGCTAGGCTGCATCAACAGAGGGATAGAATCAAGATCACGTGAAGTGTTAATACCACTTTACAAGGCCTTAGTAAGGCCACACTTGGAATACTGCATCCAGTTTTGGTCACCACGATGTAAAAAAGATGCTGAGACTCTAGAAAGAGTCCAGAGAAGAGCAACAAAGAGGATCAGGGGACTGGAGGCTAAAGCATATAAGGAACGGCTGCTGGAATTGGGCATGTCCAGTTTAATGATGAGAAGGACGAGGGGGGACATGATAGCAGTCTTCCAGTATCTCAGGGGCTGCCCCAAAGAAGAGGGAGTCAAGCTATTCTCCAAGGCGCCTGAAGGCAGGAGAAGAAGCAATGGATGGAAACTGATCAAGGAGAGAAGCAACCTAGAACTAAGGAGAAACTTCCTGACAGTGAGAACAATTAACCAGTGGAACAACCTGCCTCCAGAAGGGGTGAATGCTCCAACACTGGAAGTTTTTAAGAAGAGACTGGACAGCCATTTGTCTGGAATGGTATAGGGTTTCCTGCCTGAGCAGGGGGTTGGACTAGATGACCTCCAAGGTCCCTTCCAACTTTATTGTTGTTGTTGTTGTTGTTGTTGTTGTTATTATTACCGATCAAGGAGAGAAGCAACCTGGAACTAAGGAGGAATTTTCTGACCATGAGAACAATTAACCAGCTGGAACAGAAGTTGCCACCAGAAGTTGTGGGTGCTTCAACACTGGAGGTTTTTAAGAAGAGACTGGACAACCATTTGTCTGAAATGGTATAGATTCTCCTGCCTGAGCAGGGAGTTGGACTAAAAGACCTCCAAAGTCCTGTCCAACTATTCTATTCTATTCTATTCCATTCCATTCCATTCTATTGTATTCTGTTCTATTCTATTCTATATTCTAATTCTAATTCTATTCTATTCCATATTGCATTCTATTCTACTGCTGTTCTATTGTATTCCATTCCATTGTACTGTTCTATTCTAATTCTAATTCTATTCTGCATTCTATTCCATTCCGTGTTCTATTCCATTCCGTGTTCTTATTCCATTCCACTCCCCAGACCCATCAAGGTGATGAAACCAGAGAGAAATTGTTTGTCT